GCTCATGCGTCGAAATACAATTCAACAATCCTCTCAGCGTGGCGTCACCGCAGGTGCAAGCCTGTAGCTGCCGCCCCTCGTCAGTGTCGCCCAGCAGGCTGACCGAGACGAAGCGGGCGAGGGAGGTCTTGCGAGTGGATGGCATAGCCGCGCAGAAGATCGCAATCGTCGGCTTGCGGGAGTGCGTCTCATCCGCAGTTTCCTTGAGCACCGTGGCGTGGTGCTCCAACCAGCCCGCGTTGCTCATGATACCTTGCATGAGCGCTTCGGGCTGCCAACCCTCGCGCGACGCCACCGCGACGACTGCTGCGCGGAAGGGGCGCGGGAGCAGGAGCCGAATTGAGAAGCTGGGATCCATTCCCACCTCCTTGTGGTCCCTAGGGTCCGCCAGCATCTCGCCCAGCCACTGCTTGGCTGTCTCTCGGGCCCCCCGCTCGTCCTGCAAGCCGTTGAATAAGCCCGTCGGATGCAGGGCGGTTCGGAAAGCGGCGGCATTCGGCACGGCGTCGAGAGCGCGAATAGCAGCCAAGGACGGGTCTGGCACCGGGGCCCCGTCACCGCCAGCCGCCGTGTTGTCAGTGAACGTGAAACCGAAATCGGCATCCGTGATGGCAGGGCCTTGCGGCCGCGACGGCTGAGACTGCGATGGGGATATGGACTGCGACAGCCCCCTGCCAATGGGCGACGCGGCCGGGACGACGGCCCTGCCAATGGGCGACGCGGCCGGGACGATGGCCCCACCGGGCGACTCGGGCTGCACGATGGGCGAATCGGCCACGACGCGGAGAGGCGGCGACCTGGAGCGGCGGTTCTCCCCGGTGATCCTGCGCTCCCCCCCCTGGGCGAGGGGGGTCCGGAAGACGGCTGCGCGCCTGCGACCTGCTGCCGCTGACGACCCACTGCTGCTGACGACCTGCTGCCGCTGCAACCTGGCGGCCTCCATCGACTGGAGCTGGCGTTCCGTGGTCCTGCACTCTGGGCATGGAAAATTAGCGAAGTCCAGGCCGTGCACTTGCATGTGCGCGTTGACGCACTCTTTATGGCAAGGCCCGCGCAGGCAACCCAGACGGACGAGCTCCTCGCCATCTTCGAGCGCCTGCTTGCAGATGGCGCAAGAAGCGGCCATGCCGATCTGCAGCTATCGCCGCGGATCCGCAATAGTGTGGGTGGCCGCAGATCTGCAGCTATCGCCGCGGATCCGCATTAGGACACGCGACGCCAGCAGCTTCCGCCGCAGCTCGCGCTACAGTGATAACCTGATACGGCTAAGACCGAGGGGGGAAGGAGAAGGAGGATGGGGGAGGAGGAGAGTGGAAATGCGACCCACCCAAAGCCCAGAGAAGGAGCGGAAGGGGGAGCTGGAGGCACCCCCGCCAAAGCGCTGTAGAAACCGAAAGCGTCCTAGCCCGAAATGCCCCGCCAGATTTTGCTTCCCACAAACCCCGCCCTCCCCCCGCCACTCCTCCCTCCACCCCTCCTTCCCAACTCCAAACCCCCGTCCCCATCCCTATTCCCTCCACCCCTCCATCCCCTCTTTTCTCAAATGCCCCTTCCCGAATCGAATCCAACCCTTCATGATACCTTGCATGAGCGCTTCGGGCTGCCAACCCTCGCGCGACGCCACCGCGACGACTGCTGCGCGGAAGGGGCGCGGGAGCAGGAGCCGAATTGAGAAGCTGGGATCCATTCCCACCTCCTTGTGGTCCCTAGGGTCCGCCAGCATCTCGCCCAGCCACTGCTTGGCTGTCTCTCGGGCCCCCCGCTCGCCCTGCAAGCCGTTGAATAAGCCCGTCGGATGCAGGGCGGTTCGGAAAGCGGCGGCATTCGGCACGGCGTCGGCCCGTCGGAAGCACGGGTCTGGCACCGGGGCCCCGTCGCCGCCAGCCGCCGTGTTGTCAGTGAACGTGAAACCGAAATCGGCATCCGTGATGGCAGGGCCTTGCGGCCGCGACGGCTGAGACTGCGATGGGGATATGGACTGCGACAGCCCCCTGCCAATGGGCGACGCGGCCGGGACGACGGCCCTGCCAATGGGCGACGCGGCCGGGACGATGGCCCCACCGGGCGACTCGGGCTGCACGATGGGCGAATCGGCCACGACGCGGAGAGGCGGCGACCTGGAGCGGCGGTTCTCCCCGGTGATCCTGCGCTCCCCCCCCTGGGCGAGGGGGATCCGGAAGACGGCTGCGCGCCTGCGACCTGCTGCCGCTGACGACCCACTGCTGCTGACGACCTGCTGCCGCTGCAACCTGGCGGCCTCCATCGACTGGAGCTGGCGTTCCGTGGTCCTGCACTCTGGGCATGGAAAATTAGCGAAGTCCAGGCCGTGCACTTGCATGTGCGCGTTGACGCACTCTTTATGGCAAGGCCCGCGCAGGCAACCCAGACGGACGAGCTCCTCGCCATCTTCGAGCGCCTGCTTGCAGATGGCGCAAGAAGCGGCCATGCCGATCTGCAGCTATCGCCGCGGATCCGCAATAGTGTGGGTGGCCGCAGATCTGCAGCTATCGCCGCGGATCCGCATTAGGACACGCGACGCCAGCAGCTTCCGCCGCAGCTCGCGCTACAGTGATAACCTGATACGGCTAAGACCGAGGGGGGAAGGAGAAGGAGGATGGGGGAGGAGGAGAGTGGAAATGCGACCCACCCAAAGCCCAGAGAAGGAGCGGAAGGGGGAGCTGGAGGCACCCCCGCCAAAGCGCTGTAGAAACCGAAAGCGTCCTAGCCCGAAATGCCCCGCCAGATTTTGCTTCCCACAAACCCCGCCCTCCCCCCGCCACTCCTCCCTCCACCCCTCCTTCCCAACTCCAAACCCCCGTCCCCATCCCTATTCCCTCCACCCCTCCATCCCCTCTTTTCTCAAATGCCCCTTCCCGAATCGAATCCAACCCTCCCTGCCTCCATCTCTCCTTCCCGCCCCCCCCCCTTTCCAGTTGTTCTTTCTTTCTGGGCGAGGAGAAAGAATTTCGAAGGATTACCCATTGGACAACCACGACAACGCCGGGCCGATAAACCGATCAACCAATAAACCGATAAACCGAAACATCCGATATACCGATAAACTGATAAACCGATAGACTATTTCGGATACACCGAAAACCGATAAACCGATAAACCGATAAACTGATAAACCGATAAACTGATAAACTGTGCTGAGATTCGGGCACGCATGCGATGAGTCGGTTTAGTGGTTGATCGGTTTATCGGCAGATCGACCGATAAACCGATATACTTATATCGGTTTATCGGTCGATCTGCCGATAAACCGATCAACCGAAATAACTTATCGGTTTATCGGTTTATCGGTTTATCGGTTTTATGTTCGTGTCCTGCGGCTGCAATCCAATACTTCATAGCTCATACCCATGTGTGTGAAAGGTAGCTCGTGTCTCTTGATCTTGCCGAATCGCTTCTCCATGGAATTGAGACCCCACAACAGCCATGCCGGTTTCGCCAATACGATAATGTCGTCCACGTGTACCGTCCATACCATCATAATGTTGCCGTCCTTGACCCACATAAAGAAATGATCGTCGAACACACTCTGAACTCCTTTCATGTCGTCCAACACATGTAATGATAAAGCCAGCTGCCACAATAAGGGTGCGTCCACTGTGCCGTAGATGGGTTTCAGTAGCTGCAATACAAAGAAACATACTTCCGTCTCGGGAATCCTGATGTTGCTCTTCTCGTACTCCCTAAAGTGCCGCCAGACATTGGCCGGAGGTTGAAGATACACCTTGCGTTGTTCACGAACCTCGATGCCCATGCGCTTGGCGTGCTTACGCAGCTGCTCGTAGTTCAGTCCCTGTAGGAACGCCGTCGAAATGTCCCAGGTCTCCATGATCATGTCGCTCTCCGTCGAGTAGAGGGATGCAATCAATCTCTGTGAGAGTCTTGATGCCGTCGATGAGTGCCTCATCACGTTTTGCTTTTGTGCGTCCAAGAAACCTCGACCGCAAAGCCTTGACTTAATGATATACGTGATGTTGTTGTCCTTATCGAAGACCTTCTTCCAACGTCGTACCCACACCGCGTCGATCACGTTCGAACTGTCCATGTTGTTGTAATGAACACTTTTGAAACATAAATTGTCTATGAACGACCTCGATTCCAATCGGTCTGCCGCCTCGACGAGCGGCCAGTACTTGACGATGTCTTCCTCGGTCAAGATGTCGTCGTTCTGAGCGAATATCGCGTCGCCGGTGTTCAGGTCGAAGTAGAACGTTCTGCTCTCCTTGAACGGTCCGGGTATCGTCCAATGTGCTTCTTCCGCCGTCCATGTTAACTCGTTATCGCTCATGCGCTGGAGGTTGTCTGAAACTTCCTGGGCCATGCTGGTCATGATCGTCTGGTACTCGTCTAATTCGTCGCTGTCCATGTAGGCGCTGACCAGGTGTCGATCTTGAACATGGTGAATGCCGAGTTGTTGATCGCCGAACGCTGTGAATCCTTCCATCGTCTTCGGGCGTTTCGTGTCCGTCAACAAGGGTGGCGACCTTTCCAGGATAGGTAGTGGTCTCTTACCGTCTGGAGGTTCTGAACTGGCCCTTAGCTTCTTGTTCTCAGGTGGTTGTGATGGTGATACTTTCAATCGTACATCTTCAAGGTCTTGAGAGAGATCATGTTTACGAACACCTTGAGGAGTAACCACTTGAGGTAGATCTTTAGCAGCTTCTGGAGAGATAGCTGGTTCCTTAACAACTCCAGGACTTACAGGCTGAGGCTTTCCTGTCGATGACGCCATTGGGGGTGATCCATAATCTCGCGTTGGTTCTTCAGCAGGTCCATAGTCCACCGTTGCTTGTTCTTCTCCTCCGTCATACACGATGGTACTCTTGTCTCCGTCAGGAGATGGTGCCGATGGTGAACTCACCGCTGCTTTCGTCGGAGGTGGTGTTTGCACCACAGGAGGATTGTCCATAGTCTTCGTCGGCGTAGAGCTCGACGCTGTTGGTGTAGGAGATGAGGATGGAGCTGCTGAGGATGGAGATGGAGCTTTAGGTGGAGATTGTGTCGTAGGTGTTTCCGTAGTCGTTGCCGGTGTTGCAGTCGTCGCCGCGGGAGTCGGTTGGCTCCCAGTTGAACTTGTTCCGCCAGGAATAGTTGTGCTTCCTGATGAACTCGAAGTGCCAGGTTCGTTCCTTACTCTGATCGGTGATCGGCTAAATTCTCGTCGTCGTGCCTGTGGTGTCGATTGAGCTCGCGTCGCTTCAGTAGTCTCCTTGATGATCGGCTTCGATGAGGGTCCTACTGGGGTCGCCTTCGGTCGCCTGCTTGGGTACTGGTAGTACTGGTGGCGCATATGGTGGTCTCCAGCCAGCCGCCGGCGGCGCCGGTGGTGGAGGAGGAGCTCCCGAGCCTGACTCTGGCACGAACTGCTCGTCACTGATCATGCTCTTGTCATCCACTTCGATACTCTGCTGAGATTCGTCCAGTGCCCGTCGATCTCGCTTCCAGCTGTTGTCGTCGCGCAAGGTAACTCGCTGCGGAGCCGGTGGTGGAAACGGTGATCTTGGCGGGATGTTGCTGTCCGCCTCGATGATGCTGACGTCTCCATCCGGCCATGCCGTGTCACTGATGTCGAATGTCTGCGGGCTTGGAGCCGCTGCCACTGCTCGTCCAGGAGCAGGTGGAGGTCCCGGAGGTGGTCCTCCGCCGTATGGCAGTCCTGCTGGAAGTGGTAGTTGGTCGTGTTCGGGTCGAAGTCGGATTACAGCTGCCGGAGGAGCTGGTGGAGCAGGAGGTCCAAGTCCAGGATGTACTTCTGCTGCTTGAGGATGTCCATGTCCAGGATGCTGTACTGCTACTGCTGGTGCCGGAGGCGGTCCAGGTGGCGGTGGTTGTCCTCCTTGTTGTTGTTCTTCCGCCACTGGGTCACGATCAGGTGATAGAGGCCATTGAAGAGGTAGGTCTAGCATGCTCTCGTCATCGGGATCGATCGCCGAGATGTCCGAGAAGTCGGGGATGACATACTTCTTCGTTTCCTCGTCTTCTGCCATTGATGAGAAGGAATAGAACAGAATGCTGCACGCATTGGCGTCGCTCATGTTCGGAATGGCATTGATGATGTCCAATACCTGCCTGCTGGGATTGATGTCCGTTGTCACATACTGATCGCGTCTCGTGCAGTCCCAAGTCACCTGTCGTCCGAAAGTAGCTCCAGTAACCGCGTACAACCGTCGAACACATCTGCCAAAGACAATACCGTCGATTTGGATTCCCCATTCGTCCTCTGCGCACTGCTGAGCTAGAATCCAAACCTTGGGAGGTGTCTCTCCCATACTGGATGAGGCTCGCATCTTGCCGTCGGCGCCAATCAGCATGCCCACGATCTGCGGCTTGAACGGAACCGTGCCTTCCACAATGTCAAGCATGTCGGTATAATCCGTGACCAAGTACATCGAAGGTGAAGATGCTGTATGTTGGCGCTCGTAGCTGTTGGCCCAAGCTGCTAATCTCTGATGAATCCGAATGTGCCGCAGTGGAACGATGTAGGGATATCCATTCCATACCACGATCGCTCCTGTGCTCTTCATATGTAGTAGATCACATGGTCCTCGCCAGCCCTCTTGATCCTTCTTGCTCGGTGTGCGATACAAGTCCACCTTGTCACCGACCTTGATCCTCTCGGTGTCCAGTTTCTGTGGTCGAGACTTATTGGCTATGGCGAGGCGTTCCTCAAAGATCGTCTTCAGGACATTCTGCTTGGATAACAATCGCATACGTACGTTCGACTCAAACGTGTCAGGTGAAATCTCGAGCGCGCCCTTGTGGGCCATGGTGGTCGCCGAGTTCTCGTCGTAGAAGTCCCTAGGAGTGTAGCCGAGAAGTGCGTTGGCGGGCGTGCTTCCACCGAAGTTGAGCAATAAGTTCTGCGCCATCGCCGCCTCGTACACTAGCGTCTCCTTGGAAATGTTGAGGCCCTCTCGCTTGGCGACCACCTCGTTCTTCAACGCTATAGACTTGGTCATACGAATGTGAGATTCCACCAATCCAGTAGTACTCTTCTCCTCTTTGTTCGGGTCCGTGCCGGCAAACTCTCGCTTGATCGTGTACCTGTCCAGCGTCGTTCCAACGAGGTCCGAGGTTAGAGCTCCTTCCTGATCCGATACGAATGTCTCCATAGGCCCAAAGAATCTGATCCAACATTCTCCCATGCAACGTAGGTACTCTGGGGCCGTCTTGTCCTTCATCACTCCGATGACCTTGTATCTGATGTGCTCGTCCACTAGAATGAGCCATATCATGTCCCACAGGAAGAATAAATCGCCTTGAACTCGCTCGTTGAACTTCGTTGTGATGTGTGCGCGAAACGCTGGTCGGTGTAACGGCATGGCATACTTGCGACAACCTTCGCACAGATCCTTGACCACTTGTGGGCAAAGCTTGATGATGTTCGGTTCCACTCCAAGGGCCGCCAGTAGTCTCGCCATCTCATCAGGTGTAGCGTGCCAGAACTTCAGATGAAATCCCAGGAGCAATGCCAGTCGCGCTTGATCCGAAGCCGCCTCTTCGAGTTGATGTTTGAAGCGCTGCAAGTCGAAATTGGGCTTGATCACTATTTCCTTCTTGGGTGATTTACTGCTGATGCTCGGCTGGTCCGTGGTATCGCCCTTAGAACTCGTCTCCTTTTCTTGTGGATCAAGTCCTGGTGGTGGTTCTGGAACTTCTGAGTCTGGCTCATGAGCTGGTGGCTGTGGAACTGCTGCCGCTGGTTCTGGTATAGGAACTGCTGCTGGTGCCGGCGCTGCAGGTACAGGAGCCGGTGCTACTGCTTCCGCAGGAGCTGTAGGGAGATGTACTGGTGGTGGCCCAGCAACTCCAGGAGGATTCCGGCTGGGATCGAACCTGCACCCTTTTGTTATCGTATGTGGTGTCCCTGCCTTGTTTCCATGCTTGCACCTCTCGCACGTCCAGAAAAGAAGGTCCAATGGTGTCTTGAGCGTCATCTCGATGCGCTTGCCGATGTCCTTCAAGATGTTCTTGCACAGCTTCTCTGTGAAGATCTTGGCCTTCGATGTCTGGGGGCCTCCGACGAGCCAAGCATGGGGACGTACGCATTGACACTGAATTGCCGTTCTCCTCATGCGAAAAGATGCCATGAACTTCGTCCGTTTCTGGATGGGTGTGCCTTCTGCGTCCTGAGCTCCGTGCTGGCACTGGTCGCAGATGTTGTTGTACATGCGCTCGTCGCTCTGCAGCCCCTTCAAGGGTGACTCCTCCCAGATCGCGCTCTTGGCCGGGTTCTCTATGACGTAGTCCGTGCCGTCCAGGTTCGTGTTCTTGCACTCGTCGGATACCCATTGAAGTGCTGGAAGATCTGCTGAGCGATTCGCTGCCTTTCTCTCTGGATCTGCCGTCTGACTCGCCTGTGACCAGGGGGCACACTCTGGCGTGTAGAATTTCACCTGGATACGGATGGCCTTCTGAAATCTGGTAATGATGTCCTGGTGTTCCTTCAGCCCGAGGTTCCAGCCGCATCTCATGTCCGTTGGGAATAATACAGAGAATTCGCACCTCCATGCCCAGAATGACAAGGTACTGCTTCCCGAAAAGTGTTCCTGCATGTCCACGCTCGTGATCTTGTAATTTTGAAGATGTTTCAGGAAGCTGTCCGCATTTCTGGGGGTAATGACCGTCAGTTTCGTCTTGGTGTAGAATTTCTCTGGGATACCCTGGTAGTTCTTCTGCATTCGTTCTTGTTGTGCCGGATTCAGGCCGTCTGGAATCATATCGCCAGTAAAGCCGCTGCCCTTGAACATGCCCCAGACCTTCCAGAAGTTTTGTGTTCTTGTAATAGTCGTTTTCCTCGTAGGATACTGGTGGTCTTGAGTGCACTTGTCGTCTCCACAACTGTGTCCAGCGAATGCCGTCTCCATGCTCACGAAGTGGTGCGTGTTGGGAGCTGCGGGCTGGCCGATGTGATCCTTGATGCTCTCGATGCTCTTGCTGAGATGGTCCAGCTGCTTCAGAATTTCTGGGTTGGTCGTATCCCTGCTCATGCCCGAAAAAGTCGATGACTTCGCTCCGGTGCTAGTGTCCGCGGGTGCTGTATCCACTTGAAACTCCGCCGATCTGCCTCCAGAGCGGGATGGTTTGAAGTCCCAGAATATTTGAAGATGGTCCAGAAGAACTCCATGAAGATATTGTTGATCAACTTCTTCTCGGATATGCTGGTTGTCCGTCGGGATGATGTAGTGCCGAGAGTCAGTCAACAGGAGCCTGATATACACTGGTGTAGCTCTATTGCCAAGTCGTCGACTGTCAGGGAAGATCACCAGGATGCCGTCACCGTTGTCGAACATCGCCGAGAACATGATGGCCCTGTATCTGATCGAGGTTGGCAATGGCATCAGAGCCGGGCACCAGCTTCCCATGCCTCCGATCATGTCTCCAGTGAACGTCGCGTCCTTCATGGCTGGGATGCGTAGTGGTACGATCGCCTTGCCGATGCCAGGTGTAGGCTTGCCGTCGATGCCCGTGAACTGAGCTCGGGTTGGTCTGGATTCGATCTCTGCACCGCCGGGAATCTCCTGCTGATATTCCCGTACCGTGTCCGTGCCGATGATGCCTGACGATGCACCAGGATCGTAAAGCAGACCAAACCTCTTGGTGCCTTTGATAGAATGATAGCTCGTGTTGACCTCGTGCACGTTGTGATTGTTCTGCTGTGATACTTGATCTTCGTAGCACAGGTTCTGAACTTCTCTGACAAGAAAATCCAAGCCTCCAGGAACGATTCCGCGAGGTAGGCGACGGGGTTCGGCTTCCTCGTCATCGTCAAAGGTAGAGGCATGACCAGGAGAGCCCATGTCTGGCATGATGTCTCCAGTCGTAGCTCTCCGAGTCGGTCTTGGTGATGCTGGTCCTGCTGCCTGTGCCGAAGGAGCCAAGGTGGGTTTTGACGCTGACGCTGAGGAGGTCTCTTGAAATCCTTGCCCCATGTCTGGTGACTCCGGGTCGTCCAGGCTGTAGGAGGGCACTGTCTGCAGTGAAG